CACCCACCCCCTGACCCCTTCATGATAAACTCCTAAACCCCTAAACCCCCCATATGAGTAGGCTGTATATAACAGCCACAGGCCCCAGGCCTCGAGCCCTGAACCCTGGACCCCTTAGCCCTGGAGAGCACGTCAGTCGAATTGAGAGAAGCTGGCAGTCCCTTGGAGCCTATCGATCAGAGTTTAGGGTTTAGGGTTTAGGGTTTAGGGTTTAGGCCTAGATTTAACCGAAGACCCCTCCCACCGATGTGTATGACGTCCTTCCATCATACTCCCAACACCACAAACAGGAGGGCTATGCCGTAATGTACATCAGCTTCATCTGATAGTTAAAAAACGACCAGAACACATAGTTCCTTACTACAAATGAATAGGGTACCCTGAGTGAAACGTGAAATTCTGGGTTCTGCCCACCTTACCGTCTGGACGGGCAAAGTTGCATGAGGACAGAGAAGTGCAGGGCAGGATCAAGGGATTGTTGCACATGCCTGCATCCTTTCTCTCGCTGCCATGTTCGGCATTGCTACTTGGAGGATCATGGGACTTAGTAATTGGGGCTATAATTAAGGTAACTATACTTATATTTACTTATAACCCCAATTAAGGGACTTATAACCTTACTTACTAAGTCCCATGAACCTCCAAGTAGCCTCCTGCCAACTGCTTATGTAGCATTGCCAAGCGTACCTGCTGACCGATATCGCATGTAAACAGGCTGGTATGTGGTTTGATTGTCTCGTCTGGCCAACACAGAACTGGTCGACATTGTAGTGAGGGCTGGCGGGTGGAGTTTAGGGTCTAAACGATGCATCTTACTTGACTGGAGATTCATGCTCAATCTTGGTAGCTGTCCGCATCTCTACTGCAAAACACTCGGGAGTTTAGGGTATATTATGGGCCTGCTGCAACACCTTGACTGCGTGACAGGATTTTTATCCTGCGTTGTTTGACCTCAGTGGGGTCGTGCCTTGGGCCGCCTAGCGCAACCCATATCTACGAGCCTAGCCCGAAATCCACCATGTTACCCCGAATACCATGATCTTCAACAAAATTTGTAGTTTAAGTAAGAGCAAAACCTCGACCCTGCGCACACACACACACACACCGACACCGCTCGACAAGAAAGGAATTAACTCCAAAGCCAAATTTCTCAATTCGACCATCTTTCACCCCTGAACACGCCGAATCAAGCAACATGGCCCACTCAGGAGAACATGTCAGAGCTTGTGGGTTTCGACATCCACAACAGCCAAATTGACCGACATCTTTTCGAGCAGAAGACGCCGCTCGGATGCTCAGGGGACTTGGTATCCTAGAGGGTCGGTATATACTACTGCATGGAATTACCCTAACCCCCCAGGTACCTACTATGTAGGGCCCTAGGGGCTCTAGTACCCTATATACAGTAGGTACCTGGGGGGTTAAGTCCTAAACCCTAAACCCTAAACCCTAAACCCTAAATCCCAAAAAGCATAGTAAGGATGGTGTTGTGGGACCTGATTCCATACTGGTACACGTGAGCGCCTGACGACACCCCGACCCCGCAAAAGACGGCAGACCCCGCGGTTTAGGGTTTAGGGTATTAGGGTTTAGGGTATTAGGGTTTAGGGTTTAGGATATTAGGGTTTAGGGTTTAGCGTATTAGGGTTTAGGGCTTAGGGTTTAGAGTTTAGGCGCGTCAATCTGCGAAAGGCACCCCAGGCCTGCAAAAGGCAGCCCAAGCAAAGTGAATCCCCAGTGTGGCGCGTCTGCGACATCATGTTTTGAAACATGTGCCAAGACAGGGAAATGCACGCGTCACGCAGGGTATCGCTGCAAAAGTCTCTTTGTTGAGGCATCAAACATGTCTGAATCACCGAGTAGACGCCCTTCACGGCAACCCATAATTGTTCACCGCAGAACCCTCTATATCTAACGAAATCCAAGCGCGCCCACTCGGCAAAGACATGAAATCCCCTTTGTATTCCGGCCGACCGTTGGTTGCTTCACCGGCGAGGTGTTGATGGAATGTCGACAGATTACTGGGTTGGCGCAGTGCTCCTCCAGGATCAAGGATGCCACAGACAAGCAGCCGGCGTTCCGAACGTAAACCTATTCCGCAACTAGACGCCTCGATTGTAACTAAGACGATAATTACCTAGGTGACGCCCCTCGCGGGACTTGTTTTGCATATGCGGGACGCCTAAAGTCATGTAGAATATATATATATATATATATATATTGTACTTATCATGAAAGTGCATACAGATTAGGGTGGTTGTTTCTGAGGTTTAGGATTACGGGATTTAGCGTGTTATGACTTTTTTCTCTCTGAGGCTTGAGGCGAAGGGTTCTGGTTGGTTAGGGTTGGGGATAGAAGCAAAGTAACACGCCCGAACCATCGTGAGTCTGTCGATGAAGCGCATCGAGATCACGAAGGCTTCCAAGTCCCTCTGAAAGTCTCCTCTAGTGAGTCCGAAAGGGTTTAGGGCTCAATGTAGGCGCCTTAGTAATTAGAATAGTGTTTTGGGGCCCATTCTACTATGAATATAACAAGGAGCCTCTAAAATTGGTGTAGGTGCTTATTCAGGCCCCTACCTAGACCCCCCAACTACCCTCTACTCTACCCCAAATACCTACTATTAGGCACCACAAGGGCTCTATTAAAGGGCCATTGGGGGGTCCTGGTGCTAATCTCGATGCTCTCCCATGCTTCCCAGTACACATCTGCAGTGCTGTTGCTTAAAGGATCATGGGACTTAGTAAGTAGGGTTATAACTAAGGTAACTGCACATATATTTACGTATAACCCCAATTAAGGGACTTATAACCTTACTTACTAAGTCCCATGATCCTCCAAGTGTTGAAAGGAAGGCACTCTGAAAGCCCCCACGGAGTGCAGGGGTCCAACCTCGACTCTGCTCAGGACACGTTTCAGGGTTTAGGGTTTAGGGTTTTAGGGCTTTAGGGTTATAGGGTTTTGGGTTTAGGGTTTCAGGGTTCAGGGTTTAGGGGTTTAGGGGTTCAGGGTCTAGGGTTTAGGTTTCGCGATACCGCTCCCTTCTTGAAGGCATCTGCACCAAAGTGTTTTTGCTAACCTTCAGCGCGGAGTAGAGCGCTTATCCGTAGAAGCATATATGCCCTAAGATGCCGAAGGCTTCAATCCCTGAGTCCAGAGCACTAACTCCAAACCTCCAGCCGAAACCTAAACTCTAATCCCCTGTTCATTAGCCCGCAAACGAGTCCTCCCAATTCAAACCTAAACCTTTACATCCCCAGACCTCTACACCCCTCAAGCCCTACCTGGACCCCAAAAGTATGTAGAAGGATCGCATTTTCGAGGTGTTGGGCCATCATTCTGGGTTTAGGTAAACCCTACCGGGGACTCTTACTGCCTACAGTTTTATGGGTTCTACCTACAAATTAAGGGATAATGGCCACTAAACTGTAGGTAAAGAGAGTTATAGGCAAACCTTCCAATTCAGGAAATTGGGCGGAGATGGCTCGAACTGCGCACCGATGTTTCTCGGATGCTCTGACCGCCCCGAATCCCTAAATCCGAAGCCTCAACCGTCCGATGGTTCTAATACTTGGAGGATCGTGGGACTTTGTAAGTAAGGTTATAGGTCCCTTTATTGGGGTTATAAGTAAATATACATGCAGTTACCTTAATTATAACGCTACTTACTAAGTCCCATGATCCTTTAAGTAGGGTTTGATAGGGTTGTATCCGGCTTTCGGGCTTTATGTAATGTGTGGGGTTAAGGGTTTTAGGTTTAGTTTTAGGGCTCCCTTATAGTCCTCATTCGATCATGCTAGAGTGTGGCCCAAACCCCACCAGGATCCTATGCTCGTTTTTAAGGCCCCTAAATCAACAGCAAATCGCGAAGACCCTGATTCCAGAACCCATGCCTTTAAAGTAACCCTTAGAAGAACTCTACTCTAGCCGTAAAGCCGCAAGCTGTAGCCCAAGCAGATTGTGGGGGTCCTAGAGCACCGAAGGCCACGCCGCCTTTAGCCTCCAAGTCCTGAGCTGAAGGGCCGTAATATAGGCCTGGATGATTCTGGATGATTACTACTTAAAGGATCATGGGACTGAGTAAGTAGGGTTATAACTAAGGTAACTATACTTATAACCCCGATTGAAGGACTTATAACCTTACTTACTAAGTCCCATGATCCTTTAAGTACTGGGGAGTACATGGGTTCCATGGGGGTTTTGAGGGTTTAGCGGTCTTGGTAACTTCTCAAGCTCCAAGCACCGAGAGCTTGTAGTGCGCAGGAACATGATACCCAAGCGGTTGAGGAGGAGGGTTTCAGACTTCCTGGAAGGTAACCCGCTGAACCTTAAATCCAAAACCCTGAACCGAAGAAGGTCTATACCCTAAACCCTAAACCCTAAACCCTGAAGCATTAGCGAGCGATAGGTTGACCTATTGCCACAGGGTTCAGAGAGTTCCTGTTTCACTCGGATCTTGCAGGCTCATCAGGCTGAATTAAAGGAGATTCGCACACCAGACGTTCAATCAATGAATCCTAACTTAATCTCAGCCAGAAGCCATGAAGGTCATACTTTTCCCCTTGACTGTAAGACCTTCCAGAACCTTATTCTCATCAGCAAGACCCCTATGTTAAACCCACCAACTACCCTGCCAAGCCCAGGAAGCTACTTCCACTAACCCTGCACCCTAAACCCTAAACCCTAAACCGCAACAGGGCACCGGACAGCAGCTGGGAAGAGTGCAGGGGGGGGGGGGCGGGTGGGTAGAGCACGGTAGCGGCCCCCGAGAGGTGGGGCAAAGGTAGGTGTGACTAAGGAACGCTGGTAACTGGGTTTAGGGTTTTGGGGTTTAGGGTTTAGATTTTATGGTTTTATGGCTTTAGGGTTGTAGGGTTTAGGGTTTAGGGCTTTAGGGCTTTAGGGCTTTAGGGTTTTAGGGTTTAGGGCTGTAGGGTGTTAGGGTTCAGGGTTTAGGGAAACTGTATGTCTGCGCGGGAGCCCTTTACCTAACCTACCGCCGTCGCGGCGTTGGGGAGCTTCGAGCCTCGGGTCTTGATAGTTACTTGCTTGCAAGAAACTCCATGCCTTGTGTCCGTCCTATAATGCTGCGGGGCCACCCATTGAAACGTCAATAGTCATTACTTGTTGCGCCTTTTGCAGGTATTTGTCTATCATTGTTGCGATAGTCGTAGCATCTTGTCAGTATTTCTTATCATGGCATCTTTGCTGTTGGCACTTGCGTTGTTCTCAGTATTACGCTTCCGAGTACTTCTACAATCACTACCTGGTGTACTTGTGAAAAGGAGGAACCTTCCCTTACCCTGAGGCTACGGCCCTATAGATGCCAAACACTATATACGCTTAACGGATTCCCGGTAGACCCTTAAAGAACCCCATAACCCCAAACCATAAACAGTTGAACCCTAATGAAGCCCCAAACCCCAAGCCCTAAACCCCAAGACCCCAAAACCCTAAAACCTCAAGCCTAGCCGAAACCCGAAACCCTAAACCCTAAACCCCAAGCCCCCCAAACTCTCCCAAACCCTACATGCCCAAAAGAGCCCCAGGCTCGAGGACCCCTGCCATTTCTTCGCGACCTCGGACCGTGCACCGCTGGAGAAAGCCCTGAGGAGGGGTTGGGTGTTAGGGTATTGGGGTTTTGGGTTTTAGGGTTTTAGGGTTTTGGGGGTTTTGGGTTTTAGGGTTTTAGGGTTATTAGGGTTTTAGGGTTTTGGGTTCGCATTGGCCCTGGCACAGGTTTCAGTGTGCGGGAAGTATCTCGAAGACAAGTCGATTCTGGAACTTTCCGTGGTGGACACAGGCACATGCTGCAGACCTTCCAGCTGAAAGCCAGAGATATCGGGTGGTTGAGAAAAGGGGATTGATTTTCAGTGAGTTCATACATAAAGCATGCTTGTAAAGTGAGCACAGATCCAGGCAGCATAGGTTGTCAAGGCCGAGTATCAAGGCATCCTTATAATTGAGCTTGACATTGGAGATCCCGCGAATCTGTCACGTGTTCGAAAATCAAAATGACGCAGAGTTTTCATTAATTAGAAGTGACCGAAACCCCTGCTGCTTTTACCAATTCGGCAGCAATGCGGAGGTCGTTTTGAATGAATGCCTCCGGGTTGGGGGGGAGGGGGTGTTAATGAATTTCAAGTCATAGTTGAACCAGAACCTGGCAGTAAGTTCAGCCAAGGTCGGTCTACCTGATATAAGCATCTTGAGAATAGTGTTCCTTGACCTACCAGGACCTACGTACGTTTTTGTAGGGTCCCTGGGCATTCCATATGATTAGCAAGACCCTTGAAAGCAAAACCGGTTATGGTAGCTTTAGGTTATTTCCTTTGTAGGAGATACTTTTGCACCATGCCGTCTTCCCTGTCCTTGCAGGGTTTAGAGCGTTCCTAAACCCTAAACCCTAAACCCTAAACCCTAAACCCTAAACCCTAAACCCTAAACCCTACTGTTAGGCATGTTTAGGCCTTCAGAGTGCTCCATGGCTTTCTTTGGAGGCTGTGGCATCTCGAAAGAGGCCCAGGATCGAATCTTCAAGCCCTTCGAACAGGCTCGGTTCTCAGAGTTTAGGGGTTAAGGGTTTAGGGCTATGTGGCTTGATTTAGTGCTTCGGGGTGGCTTGCTCAGGACATCGGAGATAAGATTTCAGAGCGGAATTTGGAAATCGGAAGGTGGGGGAATGACGACGACATGACTGTAGACTCGGAGTCAATTCTAGCCGCGATGGATGAGCATGACATGCTGCCTTTGCGCGTGATGTCGCCGACTGCAGGGCCCCGCCGCAGCTGGTGAAATCTTCGGACATGACGGAGACAACATGATGATGACGACATGAAGAAGATGATGATAATGATGGCAGCATGGTGATGATGATGGTGATGAAGAAGAAGATGCAGACTTGGTTGGTCCTGGCCAGGGAGTTTTGGGTTTAGGAAGGTTAGGGTTTACGAAGTTTAGGGTTTACAGTGCAGGAAGTTTGGGGTGCAGAGAGGATCGGAGTGAGTGGGTGGTGGCAAGCTGTGCGGGCTTCTGAGCTGTGCACGATTTGCGCAGAGCCCCCGGAACGACGATGAAGGTCAAAAAGAAGGAGGCCTGGATCGGACTTGGAGGATCATGGGACTTAGTAAGTAAGGTTATAAGTCCCTTAATTGGGGTTATAAGTATAGTTACCCAAATTATAACCCTACTTACGAAGTCCCATGATGCTTTAAGTACGCCAGCAATCCACACGTCTTATCTTGAAGGTTTCACCCAGTGTCGCGCGGCCCGGGTCCAGGCCGAAAGTTCGGGTGCCCGTTATTTCCCTTTCTTCTTAGGGTTTAGGGTTTAGGGTTTAGGGTTGTTAATCTGATCAGCTTTGAGTTCGTCGTTGGAAACTCCAGAGCTGCGCAACCCTGAAAAGCAAGGGAGAAACCCTAAAACAGCTTGCAGCACAGCTTGACCAAAGACTCTGCAACCCAATAGCTTTCATAGAAGTCTAGGCTCCCCTCCCTTAGGCCTCCCCCCCTTATCAAACAAGCCCTGGTGCTCCCACCGAGCAGCGAGGCAATGCAACGGCATGACTGTTATTAATCTCTCGCACACCAAACTACGGTGCAGCCCTGCTTTGGGATTCGACCTACAGTGCGCAAACGAAGCCACATTTTTTCGTCCCTGTAGCGTCGGATGTCTTCTCACTAAAAGGCGACACAGGCGGCAATTTCCCGAAATTGGCGTGTAGTTGGTGATTCGGGCTTATTTCGGCCTGATTTGGGCCTTATTTGGGCCTTATTTCGGCCTTATTTCGGCCTTATTTGGGCCTTATTTAGGGCTTATTTGGGCATGGAGTGCCGTCCAAGTGCCTCAGTATGCCTCAGTCCGATGTCCTTCATACGGAGTTGCAGGAAGGTCTTATTCTGGCCTTATTTAAGGTTTGATTCAGCTAAAACCGGGATCCGAAATACAGCCTTTTAGCAATCCTACGTAAAAGGCTCCGGCAGCTTCGTCCGAGAAGGTCGTATTTTACCCTTATTAAGGGCTTAATAAGGCCTAACCCCGAAATCCTAAATACAGCCTTATTAAGGGTTTAATAAGGGTGTATTAATCCACTAATAAGGAATGCTATTCAAATCAAGGCTTGTATGATAAGGGGGAGTGGCTTAAGGGGCGGGGGCCAAGACTTCTATGAAGCTTGGAAAACCCGCAAGCCTTTAACCGTAAAGTCCCCAGAGAACTGGAACCCTAAAGCAAGACCACGCGACCCGAATCACAGTTCAAAAAAAGTACCCTTTAGTAGTTAGGGTCCCTAATTAGGGGATCTATTTTTTGGATCCTTTTGGGGGTCTGGGTAGGGTCTAGGGTCTAGTGACAGTTCACCATGGCCGTGACAGGAGCACAGCAACAGCGGTGACTCACGAAACTTCCAGGACTGCAGCCTTCATCGTTGTTTTTTTGGGTTTAGGGTTTAGGGTTTAGGGTTTAGGGGTTTCGGATGTTCAGCTACTGTTTTGTTTGTTGCTTCAGTAGACTACATAATCAACTACCTGGACAGATGAGGGAATGAATATTTACAACTTATAACAAGAAGTTTGCCACAGTATACCTCCAGGTGCAAGTATGCAAACAAACGAAGTTTCTATATGAGTAGAAGTATATGTACAAGAAATATGTTCATGTGCATGCATATGTGTTTGATCATGTACAGTACGTCATTGCACGTCGTCGTTATCTAGCGGCACCAACTCTATCGGCACATTGTGGCGAGAGCAAGTCTAAGTGAAGGCTCAGGCTTGAACCGCGAATGTTGAAATTTCAAGGTTCAAGATGCAAAAAACAACACCAAGGCCTCTACAATTCGTCACTCTGCATGCAAAACGCCCCGAGCCTGCCCGAAACCTTTCCTTAGTGGCTGAGTAGGTAACCTTTAACCTTTTGGGGTTTATATAATCCCACCATAATTGAAAAGGTTAACCTTTTTTGGGCTAGGGTACTCAGCCCCTAAGTTTCTCATGTTGCATGAAAGATCGATTTTCGTTTCTTGTAGTGCAAGGAGCCAGATCTTGCATTTGCTCGAACCCATCCTTCGTGCAGGCTTCGTCCTAAACCATGGACCAAAACCCTACTTGGAGGATCATGGGACTTAGTAAGTAAGGTTATAAGTCCCTTAATTCGGGTTATAAGTATAGTTACCCTAATTAGAACCCTACTTACCAAGTCCCATGATCCTTTAAGCAAACCTGCAATCCGACACCGTACCTATAGTCTCCATTGTAGTTCCTTTTTTTAAGTTTAACCATATATATATATATATATGTATATATATTTTTTTGTTTTGGATTTTATAAGGTATCCCCAAAAAGGAACTACACTGGAGACCACAAGTAACCCCAAAACCCGAAGGGCATGGGCCTGGGCTTGGCCGTCTGCTGGGAGATCGTGGAGCAGCACGGAGGATCCATCCGCGTAGAGTTCCAGTCTCAGACCCTAAACCCTAAACCCTAAACCTAAACCCAAACCTCTGAACCATTGGTATCAAGTTGACAGAAGTGTCCAGGTTTCGGGAGATGGGGCTTTGGGCTTGAGGTTTAGGGTTTTACGGTTTTGGTCGATTAGGTTTATGTACCTTAAGAACCCAAAACCTACATTTTTGTAGGGTCCCTATAAATCCCTTTTTAGGGTTTATAATAAGAACCTACAAAAAGGTGGGTTTTGGGTTCTTAAGGTAGGGTTAGGACATGAGTGCCCGGCAAATCAGTCAGCCGCAAACCCACAATCGTGAGCTTTTCAAAGCTTGATGCGCTCGGACTGACGCCAAGAGCGGGAAAATCATAGGTAGTTTACAAGACGATGGTAGTCGAGATCGTTCGGACAATGTCCTCCCCGCCTTGATGTTGATCATCAACAGATATCAACAGTATAGTCGTCATCATGGCTATCAGCATCACCAGCACGAGTATACACAACATCAGTGTACTCACCACTGCCATGGCGCATGGTCTAGGCTGTAAGTTTCGAGTCCAGAGTACATAAAGGATCATGGGACTTAGTAAGTAGGGTTATATAAGTGGGGTAACTATACTTATAACCCCAATTAAGGGACTTATAACCTTACCCTAAACCCTAAACCCTAAACCCTAAACCCTAAACCCTAAACCCTAAACCCTAAACCCTAATCCTCCAAGTAAGGTCCGAGATCGGCAAGGGTTCGAGTTTCATCGTGTCCCTGGCCTGCCAGAAGGACGAGTTTTGCGACGCCCTCAGACACGGAGCGCCCGGTGGCGGGTTGATACGGTTAGGGCTTAGGGTTTAGGGTTTAGGGCTTCGGGTTTAGGGTTTAGGGTGATGTGTTTGACAGCCAGGTTGTGGGACATGAGCTTGTGGAGCCGTTCGGTAGACACATGTTAGCGTAGAATACCAGGTTGTTCGGTAGTGTACTGTTTGCTGTTTTGCTTCTGGGTTTCATGCATCTAACTCGAGAACTACATTGATCTTCTCAGCAGGTTCCTGCACAGCCTGGAATAACCAAACTAGCTACAATATATACCCCGAAACCTTGTTCGAATTATGAAGACCACTATATTCGGGTCCTCGGCGCTATAGGACCGGGTTGCGGCCGGCGCATTGCACCCTCTTAAGGAACGCGCTTTTTGCATCCTCTCGGGGGTCCGGGTCGTGAGGGCAGGAGCCCAAATCCCAGAATCCCAAGCGCTGAACTCCACACCCTACATCCTAAGAAGGGATCAAGACTGAGAGCCGTTCTGGCCATCACGGAGTTGAATGTGGCCCAGGCGATCCTGTGTGTGAGGTTCCGGAGTTGGACAAGCCAAGCTACGCGGCAGAGAGTTGGGGTGTTAGGGGTGTCAGGTCGGGGTTTAAGCGGGTTTAGGGTTTAGGGTTTAGGGTCATTATGGTTTGAAGTTTGGCTTTGACTCTGCCGGGTGCCAGTCGAGAGGTCGTACAGGCGCAAGGCTTTGTCAAGTCGCTGCACGTGAAGCTTACAAACTCTAAAACTTTAAACCCTACATCCCTAAAGCCCAAAACCTCGAAACCCTGAAACTCCAACTCCAACGCATTCGATGCCTCGCGAACGAGCCTCTGGGGAGTTGGCGGTTCAGGGCAGTAGAAACTGCAATGAAGGTTGCCATCATAGTCAGCATGTTCATGGTGAATGGCCATGGAAGCACTGGTGTGAACGTGGCGGCCAGGGCAACAATCGCTACCACGACCACCAGCATCAGAATACCTAAACCCTAAACCCTACCTTAAGCCCTATAAGCCATCAATGATGAACATTGTGGGCATGATCACCTTCAAAACGTCAGGGGTAGCACGAGCAGAGATGGCATATCACAAGATTGGCTTTCGACGATCGAAGCGTTTTACCCCACTTCTCCACCCTCAGCCTCTGAGGTGACGAGCCAGTCCCCGTGAAGACCCCGCCGGCAGTTCCTCCGATTAGGCGGCCGCGACGAGCCAGGCGGGGGGTGCTTGAGGGGCAGTTTAGGCCTCAGGGCCAAGCCCGACACCCCAAAAAGCCCACAGTTACGGGTCGAGGCTGTGCCGGAATCCTTAAAGACCGACATGTCTAGGGCTCCTTATGATGATGATGATGATGATGATGGTGATGGTGATGGTGATGGTGTGGTGATGATGATGATGTCATTACATAATATGTAAAGAGCCCAGTCAGAAGGCCCTGCTGGGTAGGGTTTTAGAGTTTTGTACTTAATCTACGTAGGCGCCTCAGTTTTACAATAGTTTTGGGGGATAGTACCGCATGTATCACTATGCAGGGACTGTGTGAGGATGCTGCAAACTCTTTAGGCCCCTATACTTGGGCTCTTCGTGTGGATTTCTGTCGTTGGTTTGGGCTTCTTACTCCCTGGATCAGGCCGCTTATCCTCTCCGTAGATGACGACGAGGTCAACCAAGAGGTAATCAGATCGTCGCTGCAGAATGACTACGACATTGTGTCTATGCCCCAGCATGTGCGACAAATTCCTAGGCGTTCCATGCTTTCTCTCGGTCAGACGACCAACTGACTGACGTGGCTGTTCAGCGTAGCTATAAACCCTTTCCAAATAATATATGGGCCTTAATAATTAGAATAGGGTTTGGGGACTTATCGTATAAACACACCCCCAAATCCTTTTCTAGTTATAAAGGCCCCTATTAGACTGCAATGAATGCCAAACAAGCACAAATCGATGTCAATGCGGCAATGACTGTCACGTTGAGGTTGAGAGATAGGGTTTCCCGTTCGGAGGATTTTCTCATGTTGTTCAGTGCAGGATTAGTTTTTGGTGTTGGTGCCGTCATCCTTGTAAAACCCAAGAAACCCTTCCAAAACGCATTGGCAAATCTTTTGGCCTTGTGAACCCGGGCACCTGTCTTCCTGTTTTCTCAGGCAGAGTTGCAGGAGCGTTCCTGGCCAAGAAAAATCAACACAGAAATAGCTGCAGACATTTTTGTTCGCGAATGCTTCGGCTTCTACGCTGTGCTACACAACTTAAAGTTGTTTTTTTCATAAGTGGCGTTAGAAGTGCTTGAAGATAGCTTCCCCGCTTCCATTTTGTACCGAGATACACTCAGAACCATACTGCTGCGTGTAATACCAAGAATATCACTGGCCCTTCAGTAATACCAACAGCCATAGCAGCTACTGTCACTATGCTTATAAAACCCTAAACCCTAAATCCCACACCCTGCACTCTAAACCCGAAGCCGTACTATAGCTATGGTTATGTAAGTTATAATCATAGAAGCGGGCTTGGGGCTGAGGTGCTGCATGAGTGGGCCGTCTGCACTCCAATGGCCAGGGCCTTAGCTCAGAACCGGGCCCTTGAAATGGAAACCTACATGTTTAGTAATATAGGGGCGTAAGGTAATTAGCGACACTATTTTGCGGGGCACCTTATTATAGTTGTAGTGCAATGTACTGAAAACCCCTGTTCTAATTATTAAGGCCCCTATATTAGACTTAGATACTGTTCCTCAAGGGCTCCCGAGCATAAAACTAACGTTCTCTACCTCAAAGTATGGTGTTTATCAAGGCGCCTATATGAGTCCTAGTGTTGGTCAGTAGTGAGAGCAATGCTGTTTGTCATGCTTGTGCGAGTGTGGTTTCCTGTTGTTCTACGGCTATTGCCACTGCTTTCTTCTACTGCTGTCCTTGTTTCTGTTGGTGCTGTTAGTGACAGCGTGATTGAATGTCATTGCTATCATTTCTAGCTAAGCGCTGTAAATTAGTAACTTAGTAACCCATTATCTATATCATTCTTTGGCACTCTTTCTTCTGTTGTGATTGCCACCAGGGTGAGCTGCTGTCCATGATTCCGCTAAACCCCAAACCCTAATGAGGCTTGGGTAGGGGTGGATTTGAATAAATTCTTCCCCCCAGCGACGCCAAGGTTCTAGCAAATTGCTAAGCCTCCAAGCTACCCTCCTTCATCACGCAGCTCTCAGGTGAAGCTCCCGAACAATAAATCTCCCCTATACTTGACTACAAAATATTTTTCGACATGTCATATGATTTGAAAGAAGGAAATCCGACCTCAAAACCTACTGCCAACCCAACAGCGTAAGCCTTTCAGCCCAACGCCGTAAAACCTTAAACCCTAAACTCAAACCCTTTTAGATGACCTCGGTGAGGCTCGAAGAGCAGCACCGGAAGAAGGAGATCTTGCCAGACATCGTACTCCTGGACATCCAGATGCCTGGCATGACTGGAGCCTTGGACTTATCCCATGGCGGAACATGACTTGTGGAGAATCGCAGGCCCGCGCCCGCTCCCCTCTCCTTCCTACGCAGACAGACAGACACAAGACACACACACACACATACACACAGACACAGCCACACACACACA